ACAAGTGTTTAACCTCATTAAATTAAACTCCCTAGGTTGAAATAAAGTATCATAGTTTTAAGAGGACTAAAATCTTTTAAATACCTTTAAAATCTTTGCTTTAAATAACTTAAGTATTGCCTTTCAATAATCTGTGATAAGCTTATGACAACTTTAAAACTTCATAAAAAGCCCAAAGGGTTTATTTAAAATGTTATGAATTATATGAAACATGTTGTCAAATCAAGAAAAATACTAAATTTTCTTTAAGTTAGAATTCATATGTTAGTAATATACGCCTGAAACTGGATTGCCAACACATAATATTATGTCATAGTTTTATTATTTCAATTGCTAACTTAGTTACAACTTTATTTGTTTATTTTTTAATCCAGCATCATCAAAGCCAATGATTTGACTAGGGAATTCATAATATTTACCCATAAAAATTTTTTTTTACTACTGTTTAGATATTTGTTGTTGTTGTTAGGTGCTGTCGAGTTGGTTCTGACTCATAGCAACCCTATGAACAACAGAACGAAACACTGCCCAGTCCTGCACCATCCTCACAATCATTATGCTTGAGCCCATCGTTGCAGCCAGTGTGTCAATCCATCTCATTGAAGGTCTTCCTCTTTTTCACTGACCCTGTACTTTACCAAGCATGATGTCCTTCTCCAGGGACTGATCTCTCCTGACAACATGTCCAAAGTATGTAAGATGTAGTCTCGCCATCCTTGCTTCCAAGGAGCATTCTGGTTGTACTTCTTCCAGGACAGATCTGTTCGTTCTTTTGGCAGTCCGTGGTATTTTCAATATTCTTCACCAATATCTTCAATGTCTTCAGATATTTACAGACTTGGGAATATTAGTATATTCTTGGTATATCCTGACTATATAGTATTATGTCTCAAGATATTATATGTTATATCTGAAGCTCTTTTGAAAATAAGGCTAGTCATTATGTTTAGAGATATTTTTTAAATGACTTTTGGCTTTAAATTACTTTTGTAATTCTCATCAAGTCTTCACTTTTAAGAGCTATTACTATTATAAGTTAACCATGGCCATATTAAGTTTTGTCATCCACAGATAAGTTTTACTTTACTAATTTGCTGAAAACTTTCACCAAATTATCTCACCAAAAAGATGAACTATATTTGACTCATGAAAAGGACCGTGACCAGACTAAATCACGATTTCCAGAACTCTTACGTAGAAGCTGACAGATTCACAGACTGCAGCTAATCAAGAATAACATGGGACCAAAATTAGCTACATGGGACTAAGTAAACTAAAAAAATATTTAAATTAAACTCATAGATGAAGTTTACTTATATTAATTTCTTTGCTTTTCTGTTTGTTTTATTCTCTATATTGTTTTTAATTACTTTACTCCATAAACTTCAAGTTATTCCATGTTTTGATATAATGTTTTTCCCATGTAAATGATAGAAGTTAATGCTGCCTAGTGCACTTGCTTATTGTTAACTGAACAGATCAACTACCTTATTTGTCTTATGTTCCACTATGACAATTATACCTATTGCTTAAAATTTCTAGATGAATTAGATATTTCAGATATGAGCTGTTAAAATTCTTAGGGTTTCCTTTCTGTTATCAAACCTTCCTTTTCACCATTTTCAAATTGCAATTTTAGCATAAATCCCCTGTTTTGACATTTTGGTTTTTCCTTTGTGAACCCAGACCTCTTTTTATAAACATCACTTTTAGGGACAATTTTGTTCGCTAGAATTATGATTTTAATGGTCTTTGTCATCATAGTAGACACTGTTAAATGTTACATAAAATCAACTACTTGTGTTTTGACCATGGGAACGAACATGATGCCCATGAAAAAGATTATGTATATAGAAACCATCCAGGTCAGCAATGATCTTGATGAAACTCCACTTGAGGGACTGAAAAAATAAGTCAGCCCTTTGTGCCTCTGATCCATTGTACCTGACACTGTCACCTCTTTCCCTCCCTCTTTTGAGGCCCACCAGAGTATCTCCCTCTAAAGCATGGTGAAGCTAAGGAAAACCTTGCAGAAGATGAGTTACTCCTCTGTAAACGACATGAGGCCAGCCTGGCCTGAAGAGGAGAACTTCACCATGTCAAGGTAAAATGAAAACACACAATTACAGTGTGGCATCCGATGTCTTAAATGCTTGATAATTCAAGCAGCCACTAGAATAAACAATAATAGCAAACATGTCCATGTGAGAGTGACTACTTGTTTCATCAGTGATCAAAAGATGCTCTGTGAGATCTTTGATCAAAATGAGGGAAGCATCTCAGGAAAAGACAACTTTCAGTGCAGTCAGTGAGACAGAGGCATAATGTGCTGACCATGATATCAAATTTTAATCTGGATATCTAGACTAACAGCTGTGTTTTTTGAGAAAAACATGTTTTTCCTCAGTGGTCAAAACCAGGATGTGAAACCATATGCCCCCAGGGGTCTTAACCAAGTGACTATCTGCACCCCTCAAAATAAATGTATTCAGAAAGAGTGCTGTCTGGATGCTGTTGCCAACAAGATATGCTTTTGCAAGATAGACAAAGAAAATACATGTAAGCATCTTGTGATCATGATCTAAGCATCCTGTGAAACTATCTGTAATCACTAACTATGCTGTTAATAATCAGTAACCAATCAGAATGTGATAATTACAATATTCATTGATTTTCCTGTAATTGCCCTCTCTATGGTTTGGTTCCTTTTTATTCCATCAAAATATTTGTATAACGAAACTGCACTGAGACTACCTGGTTCTATTTTCAAGGGACTATGTGGTTCCCCAATTTCAATTGTCTTAAACCCCTAATAAACCTCTGATTTAACCTGAAACAGCGTTCAAGTTTTTCTCTACACAACAGGGAGATTTTCAGATTGAGGAACAGGGTGAAATGTCATGACCTTAGCTGGGATAGAAAATATGAGAGGACCTAATTCAAGTGTAGTTGTTGAAGTCGAAGTGCCTGTGAATGCCTTGGTTTAGAAGAGGGAGCACAGTGTTAATGGAAGTCTAGAGGTGAGGCCAGCTGGTATAATGCTGAGTAACAGAAGCCACTGTCAAGGTGGCGTCTACAATTAGGGTTCTGTCTTAGTTATCTAATGCTGCTATAACAGAAATACCACAAGTTGATGGCTTTAACAAACAGAAATTTATTTTCTCACAGTTTAGTGGGCTAGAAGTCTGAATACAGGGTGCCAGCTCTAGGGGAAAGCTTTTTCTCTCTCTTGGCTCCGGAGGAAGATACTTGTCTCTTTGACTTCCATTTCCTGGTTCCTTGGACATCTTCATGTGGCTTTGCATCTGTCTTCCCCCATCTCTGTTTTCTCAATCTGCTCCTTTTATATCTTGTAAGAGATTGACTTAAGACATACCCTACACTAATCCTGCCTCATTAACATAACAAAGACAATCCATTCCCAAATGGCATTATAACTATAGGCATAGAGGTTAGGATTTATAACACATATTTTGGGGGGGGGGACACAATTCAATTCATAATAGGCTCAGAGGTGTCTCTCAGGGATAGGGTGACCATATGGCCCAGCTCAGCTTACACCTGCTGTCTTGGTGGTTGGTTTATGCCTATTGTCCCAGTTAGCACCCCTTCACTTTCCAAAGTGTCCTAGTTTGGATGTCAAATTGTCTGTTCATCCTACTCAAGGGAGACCTGGCAGGTGGGGAAAGAAAAGCAAATCTAAGGCCGGTCCCTTTCATTCTCCTCACCCTCCTACCTCACCCTCTCCGTTCACTCTTTACCAGTACCGGTACAAGTTGCTTTTGAGTTGATTCCAAGTCATGGCGACCCCACGTGTCAGAGTAGAACTGTGTTCCACAGGGTTTTCAGTGGCCAATTTTTTGGAAGTAGACCGCAAGACCTTTCTTCTGAGCTATCCCATCCTTAGACTCTTACATTTTCTCCTTCCTCTATTCTTCCCTTCTGCCATGTCTCTCCTCCCCACCTCCCCCATCCCACTCCCACAGACCCAATAGAGCTTCAGTCCATCTGGGTTACCCCTAAGTCACACCTCTGGTGTGGCTGAACCGCAAGAGAAAGCCTGAGGACTAGCTACTCAGCCGCTCCACCTGCGGTCAGGAGTGAGGCGGTTAGGGTGGGTGGGCTAGGCTGGAATGATGGACTTAGCACTGGCTGGGAGCAGGAGACCTGCCTTCTAGTCACTGCTCTGCTTGTTTCTTGCTGTGTGACCTGAGAGCAAAGCATTTCTGCTCTTGGAGTCTCAGTTCCTTCCTCTGCAAAAAATGGGGATGAACCAGTGATCTGAAATGTCTCTTCCAGCTGAGAAGCTTTGTGCATCTTATCTGGTGCATTTCTCTTGGAGTTCCGGTCATATGATGCCAGAAGTCAGCCACCTCAGAAGAGAGGGTTCTGTATGCATGTTTGAGGGATCTCCCTAGGTTACTGAACTGAGGGCTAGAGTCAAATGGAGCCCTTCAAGGACTAGCCTGGGAATTCAGGGCCACTTCTCGGCAGCCACACCGCCCAGTGCGGTCGGCAAGTGCCGCGACAGGCCTGCACCAGTCCCTGGCCACCTGCAGAGGGCGCTGCAGACACACTGAGGGAGAAGAGGTGGGGGTGGACTCAGGCCTAGTTGGGGCCTACGCAGACAAAGCCACCGCAGCTTCTGGGAAGGGTTCCCAAGGGGATCCCCGGAGCCAAAAGGGGCTGGAATAAGGTGAAGAGGGAAGAAAAGGAAGAGCAATTAAGGGAAGAAGAGAGAAGGCACAGGGGCTCTGGTAAGCCTCCTGAGAGCGTGGACTCCACCTTTGGTTGCGTCTGAGACTCAGTTTCTCATTTATAAAGTGGGAGCAATCATATACCGTGTGCTGTGCATATGCTGGCGCTATCTTGTTCATAGGACTGTTGTGAAAATCGGGTAAGAGGCGCTAGGAACTTGTAAAGTTCCCTACAGTGGAGGTTGAGGTGGTGTAAGGCTGCTGCGACTCGAGCGGAAGGCAATAGGATTTGGAGCCAAACCTGGGTTCAAATCCTGGCTGCCACTTGGCCTTTCTAAGCCTCAGTTGCTCATCAGTAAAATGAGGCTAATAAGGCCGTCTCGCCCGTCCGTGTAAAGCCGGAGGTAGTCCGCGCCGTGCCCGCCTAGCAGCAACCGCTGCTGGGATCGCGACGGCTGAGCTCAGGGCACGCGCCCTGGGAAGCAGATCAGGGCCGGCGCGGGTGGGAGGGGACTCAGGAGGCCGCGGCACGAGCGGGCGCGGAGACGCGCCGCCCCCGGCAGGGAAAGGGGGACCCAGACACACTCAGCCCGGAAGAAGAGGCCGCCCCGCAACCCCACAGATGCTGCTTTGGGTCTTCGTTTCCCTTCCAGGCGCCGCTCCTGGAGTTGTCCGTTACCGGCTGTCACCTGGACGCTCAAAGAGGGGGAGGCTGGCGATCCGAGGACGGGCCTGGGGGGAATAGGGGGCGGGACTTGGCAGCGGCGGGAGGTGCGGGC